CGCGAATGCCAATGTCCGTTTCGACGGGTGGCGACAATGGTGTTGATTACTCCACGGAGGGGGGCCTGGTTGGGTTCCGAGTTAGGCTCTGGTTGATCGCCATGCTCGATGTTAGGTCTGGACCCAGAAGCTTGGTCGTTGCGGGAGTGATATCCTTGTCCTCTTCCGCATCCTCGCCCGGTGTGTCCTCCTCTATGGGCTTGGGACCTCTGGGCATATTATCTGAGGTGGCCTACCTATATCAGCTCTTCGATCTTGTCCCAGAGTGTCCAGCATTCTTCGGTCGTGTGGCCGAAGTTATGGTTGTATCAGCAATGCTTGGATTTGTCGACGTTCACTAGGGTGTGCCCCGGAGGTGGTAAGGAGATGAGATCGCTATTTGCCACCTCATCAAGGATGTGGACGCGAGGTGTGTTCACTAGAGTGTAGAAATCATACCTCGAGCCTCTTCCTTGGTGTGATCGCTTGAAGTGTGTCTCGTTGAAAACTTTGAGCTTCTCCTTGTGGCTTGTGCTATTGCCATTGGTTGATTTTGCAGGCATGTTCTCTCGAAATTCGGCATGCTCTTCCATTTATATGTACCCGGAGGCTCATGCTCACAAGTCGTCCATGTCGTTGGGCGGTTTCCTGCAGAGGTTGTCGACAAAAAGGCCTAGCTTGAGTGCCATGAGCATGGAGTGCAGTGCGACTTCGAGGTTGAGGTTCCAAATTTTTACGGACACGCTGGCGAAGCATTCCATAAATTTCCTAAGGGACTCTGTGTCACCTTGGTGGAGGTTGGCTAGGGCGGTCGAGGTGATATGGTGTGGACGGTTGGTGGCATACTGAGCGACGAATCGCCTCGACAGTTCATTGAAGGTGCTTATCGACCTCGTAGGCAGCTGGGTATTCCAAATCAAGGCAGGACCCTTCAAGGAGGTGGGGAAAACGTGACACATGATGGCGTCGTCATCAGTATAAAGGTTCATCTGGGATGCTCTTCTAGGACCGAGATGCCTTCATACTGATCGATGTTTAGTGGCTTCCATCTGAGTGGGAGCAGCTTTTCCATAATGTCGTCGGCGAAAGAATGCCGCCTTGCGCCGACCCTAGGTCCTAGGGATTGAAACAGTCCTTGGCTACCAACGGCCGTCCCGCAATGCGGTGGGGCGTTTGACCGGTTTGTCCGAGGTGGGGAAAGCGATTGATGTTCGTCCTCAACTTGATGGTTTGGTGGTGTCGGCTGTTGTGGAATTTTCGCACGAATTCGCTCGTCTCTTCGTCCATGTCGGACACGTTGTTTGGGGCCCTACTAGGTGGTCTTTTGTTGCTGGGGGTAGAAACCATTGTTGTGGCCGAAGGGAATTTTTTCTTCGGCCCCACGGTGTGCGCCAAACTATTCTTACATGAGATCAGTGTGGAGACGATCTTTGAGCAAGATCGGCGAGCCTCCTCTGCTTGGTATGTCGGCTGCTCCAAGATGGGGTTGGTACCTGCAAAAGAGACTTCAATGCTTAAGTTAGTCTTTGTGGGTGTGTAAGTCTCATATATATAATGCACGTACCTTGATGTAGATTAGTGTTTTTCTCTTGACTGATAGTGGGATCGATTATGATATGATAAGATTAAGATCTTATCAGTTTATCTTATCAGTTGGAGATTGCTCCAACTTGATAAGCCGATGTGGCCCAACCTCTTGGGTGCTGAGGTAGGCCCTGATACCAATGTGGGTAGTACAATGTCCATGATAATTGCCTTTATCTTAAGTCACACCAAATTGATGTTAGAATGTGATGTTTGCGGAATGATCATAAGATTCTTTTACATTTTCATCTCTTCTCCTCAATGATTTTATGGTGACCAAAAAGTTCTATCCCTTGTTGTTGCCCAAGGCATGTTTCCATCCTAGGGTACATATGTGGGCCTATTTTTTTTAATTATATAATTGTATTACAATCTCTTAATTTATTTGTTTTATTTTTGTATTTCTAATTTAGAGATGCATTACTTTTGTTCTTAAAGTTATTTATAGGTTAAATTACAATTTTATCATTTATTTTGTTTTTAAAATTTTTTGTCCTTTAATTATTAAAAACTTCATTTTGTTCCTTTATTTTTTATATTTAGATCATTTTGATCCTTTTAAAATAATGGTCATTTTTAATTTTGCAGCATGATTTTGAATCATTTGTTTTACTAATTTAAAACATGAAATTTGTAACATTAAGTTCATTCATCTGAAAATCATGAAATGCAATTGATGTTCAAATTCAAAAAAACTATAAACATACAGAAAATTGTGTGAAAAGTATATCCCATAACAATTAGAAAATAGTATGAAATTAGATTTTTAAAAGAAAAATATTTTCACTATGTATATATCACTTTTGGTTTGAACTTTAACTACATTTAATAGTTTTCATATAGATGAATATAATAAAATGAGTTTTAAGTCTTGTATCAATCAAAAATGATTCAAAAAGACTAAATTGACCTAAATTTGGGAAATAAAAAACCAAAATGAATATTTCAAAAGATAAAATACCAAAATAAATCTAAAAAATAAAATAAAGAACTAAAAATATAATTTTGCCTTATTTATATAAGGCTTTACACTAAATGATAAACCTAGTCCACTCTTCATAGTTCCTTTTAGACTTGGTCCATAGTCATGATGTCATCATCAACACATTTTTTAAAAGATAGTTGATGAGAGATCTAATGAGTTCAATTTTCGAAAGTGAGTTTCTGAAAGAGAAAAGCAAGAGTTTTCAAGAAAGAAAATATAGAAATAACATGTGAGCAAATACTTTGTGAAATTGGGAGAATTCTTCAAGAACCTTTTTCTAGGCTTTCTCAATCAAGAAGATAAACAATAATTGTTCAAGATTTTGGGACAAAGCTTGTGCTCAAAAGTTTTATTCATTCCAAACTTTATTTTTTTGTTTTAGTGATCTTTCCAATAGGGAATTCAATCTCAAGGTAGTGTTTCTTGAGTGTATAAGCTAGACTATTGAAAACAAAGAATCACATCCTACGAATCTATTGTCCAAAAATTAATCTGATCCAACATAAAAGAATCTCTAGTTACAATTCAAAAATTGTGGCTTAGTGGATATGCGAACAAGATAATAAATTTTCTCTTTTCACTTCTCTCTGGATTTGTTGTTGTTCTCTCTTGTTTTAGTACACAAAAGTGTGAAATTTAACATGTGGCATGCGTGAGGCAACCCTAACTTACTACTCCTTATATAGGAAACTCTAAAAACCCTTACTCACATTTAACTTGTTAGTAAAATCGAAGTAACCACCGTTACTCTCTATATCCTTTAATTATTTAAAACTTAAAGAAAAATAAGACAATTATAACTATTATTTAAAATATTTTCAAAATCTTTTTTTTTTATCTAAAACAATCTTATCTATAAAATCTTCAAATTAATTAATTTAAAAATAATTTCATTTTAATTAACAGCACTAAATAATTACAATATAATCTCAACTAAATATTTAAATTCTTTATTAAATTATTCTTAAAAAAATTAGGATGTTATATAGTCGATTATATGATGTCTATAATTGATTACATGAGCAACGATAATATAACTTAAACAAAGTTTTGTTTTAATTAGTTACATGGTGATGTAACTTATTACATCAATTAAAGTTTGTTTCTAGGTAGCAACATGATCAATGTAATTGATCATGTGATCAAAGTAACCGATTACATCATCACCAAAAATTTTCTATATAAAATCAAAAGAACTCATTTTTTAAAAGAGAGTTGAAGAGAGATCCTAAGATTTAAATTTTCAAAAGTAGGTTTCTGAAAGAGAAAAATAAGAGTTTTCAAAAAAAAAAATACTGAAATCACATGTGAGCAAATACTTTGTGAAAAGAAACAATTCTTCAAGAACCATTTTCTAATCTTTCTCAATCAAGAAGATAATCAAGAAGTTTTCAAGATAATGAAACAAAGTCTATGCTCAAAATGTTTTATTCATTCCAAACCTTATTTTGTTGTTTTAGTGATCTTTCCATTTGGGAATTATGTCTCAAGATTGTGTTTTTTGAGTGTACAAGTTAGACCATTGAAAACGAAGAGTCATGTCTTACGAACCTATTGTCCAAAAATCAGCCTAATCCAATAGTGAACGAATCTTTGATTGCAATTCGAAAATCATTACATGGTGGATAAATGAGCTAGACAATGAATTTTTTCTCTTCACTTCTATCTACATTTTGTTATTGTTCTATCTCCTATTTAAAGCACAAAAGTGTGCAATTTAATATATGAGATGCGTGGGCCAATCCTAACTTACTATTTTTTATATAGGAAATTCTAAAATCCTAACTTGCATTTAACCCGTTGTTAAGAATCAAGTACCCACCATTATTCTCTTTATTTTTTAATTATTTAAAATTTAAAGATAAATAAGACAAACATGTATTTTTTAAAAATATTTTCAAAATTTTATTTTTCTTATCTGAAATATTCTAATCTATAAAATCTGTAACGACCCGCCGTGGCCGTCACACTACGAAACAACACTACACACTACTGGAATATATATACTAAAATAGTATAATAAAATACTTACAACACAAGTTTCTAATCAAGCAACCAACAACAATCAATTATATACAACAAAGTATGCTACTATAAGGTAGCCTAAAAAAAATATCCATCTCCAGGCACCTCCTGTGACCTCTAGTAGCTATCTCCCAGCCTATCCTTGCCCTGCTCTCATACAACGTATGATCATCGCAGTCCAAACCAATAGGAAACATGCAAGGGTAAGTTAGAGACAATAAACAACTCATAAATATCAAATATGCAACATAACAACTATATAATCATCTTCACATCCGACACAGAAGACAATAACACATATATTACATATCTTTCAACAACACATGCTTAAAATAGCTTACAACATAACAACACTATCATCATCCTCAACAGGATCAACATACAACACAATCATAGCTTAACAACATAACAACATAGATACAACTTGTATCAACAACAAAGCAACTCATCAACAACTTATGCGTCGTCACGCATTTCAACGCGGAGATCTCCAACAACTGAGGTTGAGCAGTCTAGGTGGCATAAACCCTACCGAATCCAGCGTTTGACCTATCTCAACCAGGTCAGGTATAGAACAGCGTTAGAAACTCTAAAGAGAACCAGGTATAGACAACAAAAGGTGATTTCTCAAGTGTGCCACTTAGACTCGGAGGTCTAGTACTACTGTCAGGACAGAAGGGTTTGGGTATGAGCCTACCACGACCTTGGCTAGCATCACCAATCCACATATGGAGTTAGCCCACTCACTGTCCTCCAAGTACCACGCATCCTCCAGTACTTAGTCAAAGACTACATCTCTAACTAGATACCTTACTCAAATTGGTCATTCAACCATGACATGGATCGACTACTTCCAAGTCGCCCACACAGTACTAAGGGATTCAACTTTAAAACAACTTTCAACTTATCTCCTTAATACTATGTATCTTAACATAGGACATATATTTTCACCATATGTCCCCAACTTTTCAACTTTACAACACTAGACACCATAACAACTTTACAACAATAAACATCTGGCCGCTTGTAATCGGTATAGCTCGGCCTGGCCCCTATACCGTGGTCGCTTTGTACACGTGTGCCTCGATCTTGCTCACACACGAGATCAACTAAGTCCTAGAGGAGAACAACACAACGTCCACTCCAAGGGACAACTTCCCAAGGAGGGTTTTTCAACAAATTGGGCTCTCAGAGCACCACAACTATCTCAATCCACACAATGGGATGAGCAACTTCGAAAACATCTCCCCTAGTCCTAGTGATCAACAAATCATCATCACAGCTTAATCAGCTTAACAACTTAAACAACATACAACTTTTCAACTCATCATCTCAATCAACATTCAACTTGAACAACATAGTTTATCAGCACAACAACTCATCAACATTGTTTAA